CTCCCTCTCCCTCCTGCCTCCCCCCAGCCTCCCCATCCATCTTCCTACCTGGGCTCAGCCCGCTCAGCCCTTCCCATTCATCCTCTGCAAGATGTCACAAGCCTGACCTGGCCTCTCCCCTATTCCAACCCTTTCTGTGGCTCCCGGGGACCCGGGAGGAAGCAGCGACTCCTCACCTTGGCCTACTAGGCCCGCACACTGAGGCACGCCCTCCTCCCGGGTACCTTTCCCGCCTAAAAGGGCAAAGCGACTCCTCTACTCAGTTAAACTCTACCCAGGAGTGTGTCCGTGTCCCCCCCCTCCCCGCCTCGCGCCTGGGCTGTGAGCCCCAGGAGGCGGGTGGATTGTCTTGGTCACCCCTGGTCTCTAGCCAGGTGGGAGCAGGTCCCCGAAACTGCGCATGGGAGCAAGGAAGGTGGCTGGGAGGGAGGGAGAGAGGGAGGAAGAACAGAGAGAGGGAGGACCTAAGAGAGTAGCCAGAGAACATATACAGGGAGTCCCCCCAAAAATGTATGCATACTTTAACAACTGATGGCTCAATTGATGTTTCTTTCTTTTCCGATTTAACCCACCGGAATTATTATTCAACGTGCGTATACATTTTGGGGGGACACCCATAGACACAGAGCGGTGCAGGCCAGGGGAGGGGTGCGGGGCTGGGGAGGGGTGGGCAAAGCGGGGGCGGGGTGGGGAGGGGAGAGTGGTGTTAACAATAGAAAATCCTCGTTCCAACCCCCACGCCTTGGGCGGAGTCCCCCTAGGCCCACCAGAGGGCGCACCGACCCAGCAAGTCCCTAACGCTGTGCCTCAGCCGGCTCCGCACACAGAAAGGAATTACAATGCGGATGACACATCAATAGCCCCTGCTTAACGCCCTACTGCGCTGCCCGGCCAGGGTAGGAGGTGACGGGGTCCCTCGGTGGAGGGGAGAACATGTCCCCGGAGGGAGCTGCAGTCAGCCCTTGAGTCGCCCCCCAGCAGCCCGGCCTGGCGCTGGCAGGTCAGCACCTGCAGCCCCAAGTGCTGTCGTGTCCTGCCCACGTGGTGACCTGTGCATCGGCCCCCCTGCCCATCTCGGTGTTTCCCTCAGCAGCGATGTCCACTGCCCGCCCCTCCAAGCCTCCTCCTGGGCTGTGTGTGTCTGTGTCCCAGTTCCCATGCCCAGGAGGTGCCCAGCCCATCATGTCAGCAGGGTCCTCTCCTTCCGCCTGGAGGAAGGCATGGCGCCTGGGCGTGTCCTCACAGCCCGACTGGACTGCCCCAGCCCCACTCGGGACACAGACTCGGAGCAGCGTGCAGGTGGCCCCTTGGGCTGCGGGGACCTCCCTGGGACAGACAGGCTCACTTGGGATGGGGTCGGGGTGGGCACGGAGCGGGAGAGGCGGCCTGTCCTCCCTGGGGTCCCCTGGGCTCCGGGGCCTGGCCGGGCTGAGCAGCTTCCGGAGGTGCCTGGGCTGGGAGGCCCCGTGTAACTGACTCCTCCCTGTGGTTCAGGCCCCTCTCCTGTGCACTGTCACCTGGGACCCCAGTAAAGTGAACTGAGTGTGCTGCTGGTCTCTGTGCTCTGGGCAGTGAGGGAGGGGAGTGTATGAGCCAGCCAGAACACCCTGGGACCGCCCTGTCACTGACTTACACCCAGTGTCCCAGTGACTGTGCCCCTGCCCGGCCTGCAGACCCACCCCATGGGTCATCTCCCACAGCCCAGCCCCAGAAGGCCCGGAGCAGGGGATTTTGCAATTTGGAGTCTAAGAAGCCCAGAGTCCAGGCTGTAGTCCACTGGGTCCCTGGTCCCTGCCCTGGTGCCGATGTCAGCCAGCACTGCTCCGATGGCTGGGTCCTGGGTGTACTCCTTTAAATGTGCTTCATGTTCCCGCTCCGGCTGTCTCCTCCAGAAGAAGCAGAATTAGCAGAAGGGGCCAGTCCCTGCCCCAACAATTTCCTGGGCAGTGAGATCCAATCGCATACGGGTTCCCATCTGCGGGGCATGCGCACTGACACGGGGACATAACTAATGCAGAGGTCTGAGATTGGGTGGGTGCAGGGGATGGGGAGAACGAATCAATTTATTTTATTTTATTTATTTTTAATCCTCACCCAAGGATATGCTTATTGATTGTAGAGGGGAAAGGAAAGAGAGAGAAACATCAATCGGTTGCCACCTGTCCATGCCCCCCGAATGGGGATAGAACCTGAAACCTAGGTACGTGCCCTGACCTGGAATCGAACCCCCAATCTTTTGGGATGATGTTCCAACCAGCTGAGCCGCACCCGCCAGGGCAATCATTTCAGTTTTACTCCAGTCACTGTGCCTACATGGACCACCTAGAATCTTCCTTTCCTCAATGGCATCCAGGGCTCAGCCCAACCACATCTGGTGAGAAAACAGAAGTTCATCTCTCCTGTTTAAAGGTCTGTCCCCCTTTCTTCCCCTCCCTCAGCTCCGGCCCCAGCATTTGCCATGGGCTGGGGCACAGCCTCATTTCCTCCTCACCCCCCTCTTTCAGGTCTTGCCCCTGATCCAATGGGGAGAAGAGAGGTGCAGGGAGACACATCTCTGGCTTGTCTGTCCAATGTTATGGTCCTGGCTTGGTTTTGTGGCTTCTTCAGCCATCACAGACCAACTGGGCATCCAGTTGCCGATGGTCTCATGAAGTAGAGCTGTGAATTCTTGGGGAATGATGAGAGATGAGGGAAAAAAATAATTAAGCTAACAGACTGAGAATGACAGATCACCTGTTCCCCTATGACAGTGATGGTGAACCTTTTGAGCTTGGCGTGTCAGCATTTTGAAAAACCCTAACTTAACTCTGGTGCTGTGTCACATATAGAAATTTTTTCATATTTGCAACCATAGTAAAACAAAGACTTATATTTTTGATATTTATTTTATATATTTAAATGCCATTTAACAAAGAAAAATCAACCAAAAAAATGAGTTCACATGTTACCTCTGACACGCGTGTCAGAGGTTTGCTATCACTGCCCTAGGAGTACAATCAACCTAACCCTTTGCTCTTAAGACAGGAAATCATCTGGCAGCCATATCTGAGTCTCTATCAGCCTGGAGCACAGTTTGCTCCACCCTGAGACCCTGCCCTATCCAATTCCAGCCTCACCCAAGATGTTTGCAATCACTTTTCCATATGAATGGCCTGACCTAGTTGAGGTCTTGAACTTTGCTAAAATCTCTCAAACAAGCTGCAGCTGGTGACAATGTGCCTCAGACCTACCAATAAAAGGCACGAGACCTGGCTCAGGTGACTGGGGAGGCTGAGCTACTGGGCACTACAGGATACCCAGTACACAAGGCCACTCTATCAATTCCAGGAGACATACCAGCTCTACCTAATACATAGAAACAAACACAGGGAAGCAGCCAATATGCGGAGACAAAGAAACATGTCACAAATGAAAGAAATGGAAGCAAGAAAACTACTGGATAATGAGTTAAAAACTATGGTTAAAAAGGTACTCAAGGATCTTCATGAGATATTCAAGGATCTTAGTGAGAATGTCAAAGACATGAAAAGGACCATCAGAAATTAAGCATACACTAACTGATATAAAGAATAATTTACAGGGATTCAACAGTAGAGTAGAGGATTCTGAGAATCAAATCAACACTTTGGAATATGAGGAAGCAAACAAACAAACAAACAAACAAACAAACAAAAAAACCCCACAAAACACCCAAGCAAAAGAACAAAAAGAAAAAAGAATCCAAAAATATGAAGATAGTGGTCTGAGTGGTGCAAAGCCCAAACAGCAGAGACAGAGGAACCCCCATGCTCATAAAATAGTGAAGAGTAAACTAAGCCCCCAAAACGGTAAGAAAGCAAGCAAAGAACATTTGTATCAAGGTTGCATTACAGACAGACAAGAACTCTCACTAGCTAAGCATTTCCGGTGGCTAATGCCTTGAGAGGGAGAGCAGGGTGGGTCCCCAAGATGAAGAAGTCTCGGCAGCTGCTGGGAAGTTCCTGCAATCCCTGCCATGGGTTCAGCCTTCCACAAGCAGCTGGACCCCCCAACAAAGTGCCCCAACCTGCAGGGCATGCTTCGTGGGTACACCGCACCAAATCCTGCAAAGGAATGAGAGGATAGGAGACGCGGAGAAATGGAGGCAAGACAAAGTTCTGATCAAGCCTCAATTTTATTTTTACAGTGGGTAGTATTTATGTTGTTCTAGAGGAGAGGGGTGGGCAAGGGGGTCCATGGGCGGTAGCCTATCATTAAGGATGTAGCAGGCTCTGGAATGTCGCAGCTATGCGCTTATCAGCGGAGATGTAGCAGCTGTGTGCTTAGGGTGAGGGTATGTTATCTTTTAACTCCAGGCCAAACTGGGAGTTGGCTTGGAGGAGCCATAAACCTATTATGCTGTAAACTGGAGATGTATATGTGATTTATAATGGCTCCCAACATTTCCTCCCTTACCATTTAGTTAAGGGTGGGCATTAACCGACTGGGGGAGTAGTGACCTGGTTCCTCCCATGAGATCGGCAGATCTCACCTCTGGTGGCTCTTGGTATCTTTTGGGGAGGAGAGGCAGAGCCAACAATTATATATGTATGGATACCAACCTCTATGCAAACCAGGTGTGCTCACAGAGAAATCCAGAGGCGGTCGAGAAAATTTTGATTTTCTGTTTTGACCTTCCCTTGCAGTGCTTTGCCCTGCACCCAGACGGTACCCATACCATTCCTCTATATAGAGTGTAGGTAAGCATTCCTCTGGCTTTATGCTGTCCCCGTGGGGAGGGAGCCCTGGCAATCATTATAATCATGTTCTAGGTCTATAGTAGCTAAACGGTGGTAGTGAACCTGAATGGGTTTGGCTAGGATGCTATCAATTTGCTGTTTGACAAAACTTGTCAGTTTCTTAAAAGCCCATGGACCAAAGGTTAAAATTAACAGTAAGCTGACAAGGGGGCCAAGTGCAGGAAGCAGGTAGGGGAGTAGGCCATTGAGTCCGCTCCAAAGGGGGTTTTCGAACAGCTCTCTTCGCCTTTTCACCAGATCTTCCTGGAGTTTTCTTATCTTGTCTCGGACGATCCTAGATTTGTTGACATAAAAACAGCAGCGTTCCTGTAGGGCCAAACATATTCCTCCCTGCTCTGCTATAGTAAATCTAATCCTCTTCTATTTTGTAAAACTACTTCTGCTAGGGAGTCAATTTGGTCTTGGAGATCATTGATAGTACCTGAAAGAGCCTGAACATCATTAATTAATTGATTAGATAATTTATTATAAGTATGTAATGCGGTTCCTAATCCAGCTGTGCCAGAGGCCACAGCTCCAGAGACCCCCAGTCCTATAAGTAGGGGAATAAATTGGACAGCCAAAAAAGGGTATTTTCTCTGCTGTACAATCTGCTGAACCTGCTTAAATAGTAAGAATAAACTTTGGTCGCTAAACCATTTCAACTGGGCAGTTTCAATTCTACTTACTAGGCCCGAAGCATAAGAGGAATCAGAAATTATATTAATAGGCTGTTGGAAATCTGCAACGCAGCCTTAATAGCTTTTAATTCAATTCTTTGCACAGAAGTATGACTGGTCAATATGACTCGGTCAGAATTTATAGTATGATAGGCAGCTTTTCCATTTGATGACCCATCAGTAAAAACAGTTAAAGCTCCAGGAATTGGTTCCTGCGTAGTATTTTTTGGTATAATGATGGAGGTCTTATATAAAAATATTAAAAGTTTATCTTATAATAGGTGACAATTAAGTTCCCCTGAATATCCATTTAACCCAATTTGCCAATTTTAAGTCAGTTTGAAATAACATTTATTCTTTTAACTTTACTTGTCCTAAGTTATGGACAGTAAATGACCTTAATTAAATTTCTGGTATTAGTCTTTGGGTAGATTTACATAAACTTTGTTTAAGGAGACAAAACACAAATTATTTAATTTAGCTTTTGAGGCCCAATATATTGATTTTTAATTTTAGTTAGACATCTGAAGGAAACCTCTTTTTATTTCCTTCCAGACAGTTCTTTCTCACACAAGCAACAAATGTAAGAAACACAGTTGCCTTTTGAGATTTTAACAAATACTGCCGCAAAGCCATATATTTCAAGTGATTATTTTATTTATGGTGACTAATTATTGTCAGATTTAGTATTTTAACAACAATCTGTAAATGTTAGTAATTATATTTTTAAAGAGTATACCCTTTGGCTTATTTGCATATATAGAGGAATCATGGGAAGCCTTCAGTAACCTTTTTAGAAGAATTTATTTTACTAGGATTCAATTGCTTACAAAGATTAGTAATTTAAGTATTTTTTTTAAAAAGGCAAAGCGAAGCAAGTAAATTTAGTATTTAGTAAAATTCTGATTCACAAGGGGCAAACGCTGCCCCACCTGCAGCCTAATTTAAAATGCAGCGGCGAGGAACTTTTGTTATTTCAAATTACATCTTAAAATTCCACTGCTGTATTTTAAGAAATATTAAACAAAATTACTTGTTTTGCCCTTTCTCAGAGGCAAAAACTTAATATATTTGTTAATTTTTATTTGATAAAGCTTTCCCTGTGATTTCAAGTATATTAAATTTAGCTAAATTAAAAAATCCTTTAAAAAGAGAGAATAAACTTTTGAAAACATTTCAGGGCCCTTGAAATTTCTCAAAGTCATTCCTTGGTTATAGTTTTGAAATCCAACTTGAAAGACCATCAAATATATATATATATATATGTGTGTGATTTAAAAATTATATATTTCTTATAATTATTAAGAGATATCAATTAAATTTAAACTGGTTTTAAAATTTCGGTTGGGATCACAGAAATTGGATTACTGCTATCAGTCCCTTTTAAATACTTTGACATAAGCTATTTAACTTTTGTTTAGGGAGGGAACATATAACCTTTAATTGTCCTTAGTTTAAGGAAAGTAGGGTTTTCTAGATTTAAGAGATTAGAAAAATGACTTAGCCTTTTTTAAGGAATACAAGCTCTATTGTTGGCCCTTATAAAGCCAACTGCTCAGAAACATTGGTCTATCATATCACTGAAATTATATTAAGACCGTGATTGCTAATTAAGCATTAAAAATATCTTCTTAAAAATAGTATTAAATAAATCCGAGAGGCAAGCACACTTTTTGCCCCCATTCACATTTCCGTAGTAAAACTCTGCCTTAAAGCTCCACCCCTGAAATTCCATCCTGCCTCAGTGAGAAGACATTCCCTTCTGGCTAAATCAGAGGGAGGGGCCTTTGCTGTCTCAAGATGGCGGCCCCAGGGGCGTGGCAAGCCATGTGGCTGATATGGCGGCTGCCAGGTCATGTGGCCCAAAGTGGTGACTGTCTACATTGTTCTTTGCAATTAAATTTAAACTGGTTTTTATATTAAAAATTTCGGTTGAGATTACAAAATTTATCCTCTTTTTTCAATTAGACAAATGTTGAAATTTTACTATAATTATATGATTTCTCCAAATTTATTTAACCAGAACTTTAAACTCTTAGCTGGCAAGTTAAATATTTAGCATTTCTCAATCAGTAACATTTTTAAGAATAAATTTTAAAAAATGCAAGACATAATCAACCAACAGATTTAATTCTGTCCTTTAGATTTTGTACGAAGTACACTTAGATCTTATTTAATTCAGTATTATGTCACTTCAAGATACCTAGGTATAAACTCCAAGGTCTTAAATTTCACAGCAGATTTGGAAAACCACACTTGAGGCTGGCAAGGCAGGCCTGGCCCAGCCTTTGATTTTAAAACGACCATAATTTTTCCTCTGGGGAAGGTCAACAAACAAGGTTGTAGCTACATTGCTTCCTGCCCCTTGCTTGTCGGTGGGAAGTTTCAATATTGGCCTGGGGGAGGAAGGGGGGGGCTGTTTTCCCTGGAAGAACAGGTTTGGCCTAGCCTGGATCAATCAGATGTAAATTGACCACATTCTTTAAGAATTTGTTACAGGTGGGAAGCAACTAGCCCCTTTTCTCATTAGAAATGTTTTGGTCAGCCTTTTCAATTAACAAAGGGCCGGTTTTTTATCGGGCTACTTAGATTTTTATAATTAATATAGATCAATAATTCTTGAGATTCAAATCTAAATTATTATTTTAAGGCAGTTATTTTGGTAAATTTTCTGTAACAGACAATTTTACTAAATTTCTTTGAGGCTTTTAAGATTAACTTTGGAACAGGCTTTATTAACATTTCAAAAATCACTCGTTATTATGGAAATATACCAATCTTATTGCTAGAACCAGCCTGCATTTCTTCCCTGGCTCAAATATGCCATTTTTCTTAGGAAATAATCAGTTTTGGGTTTTATTCTGTACATTTGTAAAGAGATTCTTAGCTCAAAACTCTATCTAAATGTCCAAAATCGGATGATGTGCGCTTTAGTTCCAAGCCAGTTTTTCTCTTTACACGTGAACAGAAATCCCAGACACATTTTTTAAATTTTGTAGAACTTTTTTAATTACGAGAAGGAGATTTTAAATTTGAATACTGGGGAGGAGGCGTCCATATAGGATCGCCATGTGCTCCTTTTTCCTTTCCCCTACATATCCTGCTTTGGGGGAAGTTTTAGCAAATGACTCAGATGGCGTATTTGTTCCCAAAGTCATGCTTAATAGAAGAAGACATTTTAAATTTTTTCCTATTTCGCTTTCTAAAGTCATGGCTAGTACCCAAGGTTATCTTAGCCAAAGTTTGGTTGTCATAAGATGTTCTCTAGTAATTTTTAAATAGAACACCAAGTAATCTCATTGCAGGAGAGCCCACAGCTCTGCCCTCTCCTGCCATCTCTGAATCTCTCCGAACCAGAGAGAGATTCAGCAGCGGGGTTTCATTTCTTAAAAGTAAAGAAGCCTTTTAAATCTTTCTTTTTAACCCTAAATCCTCGCGCCTTGAGGGACTCCCTGAGTCCTTTAAGAAACAGATCATGAGAACTTAGAGCCTGACCCATGTCTTAGCCTCTTCCACGTAAGCCTCCGGGACGTATAAACCCCGTGCCAGGTCAGCCCAGGAGTCGACAAGGAGACGAACCAGCGAGGGAGAGCAGCCAACCGCTACCTCAAAGGAGAGGCCCCTGTTCACGTGTCATAGGTCAGGATGTAGAAATTCTCTGCTGAGACTACTTCAGTCCTGTTTATGCCACAGGTGTGTTTTCCTACGTAAGCAACCGGTTGGTATGATCCGCCAACTTAGACCCCTGGATCAGAGCTTCCCAGATCGAAACTTGTTTTCAAGTGCCTTCCTCGGAGCTGCCTCTGCAGCTCACTCCTCCTACGTAAACAGCCGGTTGGTATAATCCGCCAACTCGGACCCTTGTGAGGCAGGTAACCTGCTAGGACCCTCAGGCATTCACCAGTCGGGAGTCAGGCACCCCAGGAGTGCTCACAAGGTGGACGGCTTACGTTTTAAAGTAGGCAAGGAGTTTTCCCGGAGTAACACTGACACAAGTTCTTTCTGGTTTACTTCTAATTTTGGGTGGACAGTTTAAGCTTTAAAGTAGGCAAAAACACTTACTTCAGAGTCTCAGCTGGAGTCCCCACTTTCTCAGAAAGACCACTAAGACAAAGTGAACGCAGGGTTTTTGGAAGGAGTCAACCACATGGAACGAAACCAAGGGACAAGCCTGAGTGATTCGGAGTTCTCTCCGCCAAAATCGGGTACCTTTCACTCTTCCCGAAACAACAAGAGAGTGCTCAAAGTGGACTAGAGGCAGGAGACAAGGGGGGAGGCAATGAGGAAAGAGAATGCCTATCCAAAATGAATGCGTTCACTTACCAAAGCAACAGGTCTGACTCGCAGAGCGGGTAAGCAAAGTGGCGACCAGGAAAAAAGCAGGCTGACTCACAGGGCGATCCCAGTGGCGCCAAGGGGAGGTCCGGCCGGACAAAAAGTGAACGTTCCTGAGGAGGATTGGAGAGCAGAGACAGCGTTGGGCGCCATTTATGCCCCGACCTGCAGGGCATGCTTCGTGGGTACACCGCACCAAATCCTGCAAAGGAATGAGAGGATAGGAGACGCGGAGAAATGGAGTCAAGACAAAGTTCTGATCAAGCCTCAATTTTATTTTTACAGTGGGTAGTATTTATGTTGTTCTAGAGGAGAGGGGTGGGCAAGGGGGTCCATGGGCGGTAGCCTATCATTAAGGATGTAACAGGCTCTGGAATGTCGCAGCTATGCGCTTATCAGCAGAGATGTAGCAGCTGTGTGCTTAGGGTGAGGGTATGTTATCTTTTAACTCCAGGCCAAACCGGGAGTTGGCTTGGAGGAGCCATAAACCTATTATGCTGTAAACTGGAGATGTATATGTGATTTATAATGGCTCCCAACAGCAAAGTGGGATCTGCCCCATCTTTAAACAAATTAAACCAAACAACAGAGAAACACAAAACAATAATCAACAGAGACACTCTTCTTTTTCTTTTTTTAAATATATTTTATTAATTTTTTACAGAGAGGAAGGGAGAGGGATAGAGAGCCAGAAACATCGATGAGAAAGAAACATCCATCAGCTGCCTCCTGCACACCCCCTACTGGGGATGTGCCCGCAACCAAGGTACATGCCCTTGACCGGAATCGAACCTGGGACCTTTCAGTCCGCAGGTCGACGCTCTATCCACTGAGCCAAACCGGTTAGGGCGACACTCTTCTTTTTTAAAATTAAATTTATTGACATTGAGCAACATAAACATATTGGTTTCAGGTGTGGGTTTCTATGTTACAAGATCTGTATATTGCACCGTGTGCTCACCTCACCACTCAAAGTCAAATCTTCTCCTGTCACCATACATTAGGACCCCCTCCCCCCACCCCTTTCCTTTTTGGAAACCACCACACTGCTGCTGTTTGTGTTCATAAGTTTCAGTTTTATGTCCCACACTAGAGGCCCGGTACAAGAAATTCATGCACTTGGGGGGGAGTCCCTCAGCCCAGCCTGCACCCTCTCCAATCTGGGGCCCCTCTGGGGATGTCCAACTGCCAGTTTAGGCCGGATCCCACAAGACTCAGATGTGGGCACAATCACTTTCACAATCCGGGACTGCTGGCTCCTAACCACTCACCTGCCTGCCTGCCTGATTGCCCCTAACCACTTCTGCCTGCCAGCCTGATCACCCCCTAACCACTCCCCTGCCAGCCTGATCAACACCTAACTGCTCCCCTGCCTGCCCGGTTACCCCCAACTGCCCTGCCCTGCTGGCCCAGTCACCCCCAACTGCCCTCCCCTGCTGGCCTGATTGCCCACAACTGCCTTCCCCTGCCAGCCATCTTGTGGCTGTGGGTGCCGCCATCTTTGAAGGTGTGGCAGTCAATTAGCATATTCCCTCCTTATTGGTTGTGGGTGCCACCATCTTTGAGGGCAGGGCAGCAATTAGTATATTTTCTCCTTATTGGCTGTGGGTGCCACCATCTTTGAGGGCAGGACAGCAATTAGTATATTTCTCCTTATTGGCTGTGGGTGCTGCCATCTTTGAGGGTGGGGCATTCAATTAGCATATTCCCTCCTTATTGGCTGTGGGTGCTGCCATCTTTGAGGGTGGGGCAGTCAATTAGCATATTCCCTCCTTATTGGCTGTGGGTACTGCCATCTTTGAGGGCGTGGCAGTCAATTAGCATATTCCCTCCTTATTGGCTGTGGGCGCTGCCATCTTTGAGGGTGGGGCAGTCAATTAGCATATTTCCTCCTTATTGGCTGTGGGTACTGCCATCTTTGAGGGTGGGGCAGTCAATTAGCATATTCCCTCCTTATTGGCTGTGGGTGCAGCCATCTTTGCGATGGTGTGAGGGTCAATTAGCTTATCCCCTCTTTATTAGATAGGATATGAGTGAAGTCATATGGTTCTTAGCTTTTTCTGACTGACTTCTTTCACTTACCATCATGTTCTCAAGATCCATCCATGTTGTTGCAAATGGCACTATTTTATCCTTTTTATGGCTGAGTAGTATTCCATTGTGTATTTGTACCACATCTTCTTGATCCAGTCCTCTATTGTGGGACACTTTGGTTGTTTCCATGTCTTGGCCACCGTGAATAATGCTGCAATGAACATAGTGGAACATATATCTTTGGGAATACATGCTTTTGAGGTTTTTCAGGTATATATCCAGAAGAGGGATTGCTGGGTAATATGGAGAGATACTCTTATACAATACTAGAAGCCTGTTGCACGAAGAGATTCGTGCAATAGGCCTTCCCTTCCCTTGGCTGCTGGCACCAGTTTTCCTCTGGCACCCGGGACCCAGGCCTTCGCTCTGGCTGGGCTCCAGCAAGAGCCCCCTCCCCAGCCTTCAGTCCTCGCTGCTCCACTGATCCCAGGGCCATGAGGCCTCACTACTCTGCCCATCCCGGGGCCCTGAGGCCTCGTTGCTCCGCTTGGCGCCAGAGCCATGAGGCCTTGCTGCTCAGCTGGCTTCGCTCCACCGCTTGGAGCCTACATATGCAAATTAACCGCCATCTTTGTTGGCAGTTAAATTGCATATCGCCCTGATTAGCCAATGGGAAGTGTAGCGAAGGTATGGTCAATTACCCTTTTTGTCTTTTATTAGATAGGATTTACAAGTGCACACAACAGACAGACAGCCATTTGTGGCTTGCCAGACAGAACACCAGACAGAATGCCCTGCATCAACCCTAAGCTGATCAAGCCTAAGTGCGAGACCAGGCAAGGACTATGAGAGGCTGCTTGCAATCAGGAGCTGATCGGGCTCACACCCAATAGAGGCGGAAGGGGGCGTGTGTGCAACAGACAACAGGCGCCCCTCGTTACAGAGTTACAGAACGCTCAATTCAATTTAGGTTTTAGGTGAGATGACAGGGATTGCTGAAGCTGCGGCTGGGACTCAAAGCAGGAAAATTTCTGGAAGCGCTGCAAATAAAGGAGTCCAGGCCTCAGCCCCAGGAACCCCCAGCCCAGGCAGCAAGCAGATCTCTGGTACTCACCCCAGAGGAGTCCCCTGCTTGTCATCCCAGCAGAGTAGCCAGAAAATGAAACCAGACAACCAATGGGTCCAGGCTGCCTGTCACTCCCTGAGCCAATTAAGCTGAGACAGGGTTGAAGCATACATGAGCATTTATTCCAATAATGCTGGCAGCTTGAGGAAGCAGAAGGTCTGCCCTACCTCCCATCCCCATAAGCCAGCTGCTTATATTGGGTAGAAGGACAAGATTGCATGGGGAAGTAGGCGAAGTATTATGGTTTAGAGGCTGCAGGCAATTCGGGCTGAAGGGGTTCCAAAGAGCAGGTGCCTCCAGGATCAGAATGTGTCAGACAAGCAGTTCTCAGGAAAGGAGGATGAACAGCATTCCAGAGTCAACTCCCATGCCCCGGGGCGTACAACTCTCAGCCAGGGTA